GCGTACGTGTACACCCTGATGTTAGTGGAGTGTTGCTCATTTACAAAAGGGGCAACTGTTCTGCATAAGTTCTGTAAAAACTCCAAGTGCCAGTCTTTTGTGCCTTTTGTTTTCTGTGTTATCACATACAGTGTTTGTAGCACTGATTCACAGATGTCAGGTCTCTCTTTTAGGGAAAGCAGTTTCAGTAGTTGTGGAACTACAGCTACTGCATACTCATTTGATATGTCTTCCATTGTGCAGAAACCTGCATTCAAACTTTCAACTGCCCTCCCTACATGTGTCTTAGGAATATTTGGAAAGCGCCTGGCTACACCTGCAATGTAAGTATTTACATTTTCAGTTTCCTTTAGCCATTTAATGCAGGCCTGGCAGTATTTATCTTTCCCTCTCCCAGTTACAGTAAAAAGGATTTCAATCATGGTCAGATGGAGCCGAGGATCCTCTAACAACATGTGACTGCTGAACATTTTAAACACTTCGTCAGGTGTTTTTTCAAAAACTGCAATTTCCATATCCAAAAAATGTCTGATTTGGGAACACACTTTATCTCCATTTGATGCAAGGTGATCAATCATCTGAGATATTTTTTTACTGTTAATAAGCCACTGAGGATCATTTATGGGCGGCAGTGTCACCACTGCACCAGCAAAGATGAGTCTTTTCATGATATCCTCCCTGTCTTGAATGGCTGCAAGTTGCAGTGGTGTGAATTTTTCCCGTTGCAGAGGAGTAAACTTCCATCCATTTGGATTAGCTTTTGCCTTAAGCAAAAGATCCATAAAATCAGGTGGTGCTTTGGAGTGTGTGACATAATGCAAAGGTGTCCAGAGATGTTCAGAAGGTATATTTGGGTCTGCACCCTGACACAAAAGGTAAGAACAGATCTCTTTATTGTGATTTACAATAGCAGCAATCAATGGAGTTATATAATCATTATACTCCCTACAGGGGTAAACTCCATCAATATTATCGTTCTTCAGTAAATTCCTGAGCTTTTTGAGGTCATTGTTAGTTATGCACTGGATTATAGGATGCGTTTTTGTTGGTGGGGAGACTGCCAGTTGTAGCTGAGTACAAATATTCATGTTGTTCCTTCAGATTACCTGTGGAAAAAAAAAAGTAATGTGAAATCTGGTTTCAGTTTAATCTTTATAAAAGCTAAAAGAAAATCAATAAAATTGGACTTTAAACAATATTAAAACTTTGCAAAAGTTTTCAGTAGTGAATAATTATATTTTAGCTACCACACTGGAAGATTCATGCATAAAATTATATTTACTTGCAAACACTGACATCCTTAGTCATAATTCATCAATTTCAGTACTTTTGCTTGTGTTACATCTAGCCATAAACTTATCCAAGTAAATAAGAAATTTCTGGCACAAAATGAAGAAAACACTACTTTCATTTCACTTTCAAACTGAATTAAGCAAATATGTAAAGAAATGAACATTTCTGCATTTAGCTTTAATAGTTTTTGAGACAGTCATGTTCAAATATTTGCTCAAATTACAATGTGGAAGAAAAATGGCTTGAAAGTGGTTTGATAGGCATGAAAAAAAAATATCTACAAAGGTAAAATTAACAGCAGTCATTGTATACTGTATATTCAAGCTTTGGATCATAAATTTGGAGATGGCGGAGCACAAAATATTATAAAAGTTGTGATGATTTGAGACTGAGTGACTCAAGTCTCGAAAATGAAAAATAGTCCCATAGTTCACCACATTCTTTTCCGAGTACCATCTGGAATTGCCAGTATTTTATTCTATGTGGTCAGGACAATTTATTGATATTTCTGTTTTTGTGGTACAACTTGCTCAAGGCAAGTTTTTCCCCATGTTATAATTAGGAAAACTTTGTGATGTGTGTCTCAAATTACAGATCCTGGTTTACCAATCCTGACCTAAATTACTGGATCAGATATCGGGAAGAAATAAAAATATGTAATCCGACCCAATAAATATCACAAAAGCACCTCACAAAACTTGCGACATGGCATAATCCATCTCATGACGTGATAGAGCAGCTGTTGTGGGCAAGACCTGTCGGGCTTCTGGAGTTACTTCACAAACCGGCATTTCATCTCTGAGTAGACTATCCCATAGAAGTAAAGCAAGTGTGTAAGTTCATATCTTTATGTTGGTTAAGCATTCCCACGTTAAGCTTAACAACCAATATATGGAGCTCGGACGTCTGTACAGTGTGTTACGGCTGTGGCCATAAGAACACTGTGTGGGCTGTTTTGTTCTGTGTCTCTTTACTGTGCTTAAGACTCTTTGCAGGTCCCTCCCCTAATGAAGAGTAGTGAGCAGGTGATTGGACCGTGGAACATGTGACCACGTTCAAAAAGCTGCTCTGACAGCTCCCGCCGGAGAGAGAGAGAGTGGAGCGAGCGAGTAGCTTGACAGCCGACGCGGTCCTGACCCTGGTTTTCCAGCCTATACTTGTGCTGTGTATTTGTGTGAGCGTGATCTGTGAGAGCCGCTCCTGGTGCATTAACTTAGTGCTTAGGCACCCTTAGGCTGAAGCGGAAGGGTGAGCCGCCTTTTTCTTTGGAACAGTTTTCTCCTGTTTTCCAGGTTTGGGAGCGAGGGTTAGTATTGTCATTTGTTTGTTCTGTTTTTTTCTTAGGGTTTAGTTAGTTTTCTGGTGGGACTTAGTTGGTTTTGTTTATTATTTTGGCCTG